GGGGGAGGCTGCGGAGGATGCTGCGATGCTCGGGGCGCAGGGAGGCTGAGGGGGACTCTGTGGTGTTGRGGTCTCTGTAGGCGGTTGGAGGTCTCCGTGCGGGACCCCAGGGCTCTCTGTGGTATTGGGGTGCTCTGGGCAGGTGGCTGTTTCAGCCCCAGTGCTCCCGCTCGGATCGCAGGTGCTTTGGGGGGGAACTTCCCCCCCCAGCTGTGCAGCACTGGCCTCCACACCTCCACAGACCAGGAGACACCTGTGGGTTGAAGACACTGCCCGGCCCTGGCCTGACATTGACTGTGCTCAAGCCGTCCAGGCCCGAGGGAAGCTGGGGAGCACAGGAGGCCAGCGGGACAGGAGATGGGAGAAAGGGCCACGGCGGGAGAGGAGAAAGGAGCTGGGAGGCCGGGTGGAGCGGTAGCGGAGCCTGCGGCCAGCGGGAGCAGGGAACACAAGTTTGGACAAGCCGGGCTGCTCCGTGCACCTCATCCACGGGTGTTCAACACGAGTTTGCACACGCTCATGGTGCCAGTGGCGTTCTCGCGCTCAGATTCAGGCAGGGTAAACGTGGGCTATTGGCATCACYGTTCCTGTTTTTATTATCAGTGCTGCGTGGTGGCACTCCAGTCACTTGGCTCCATGAGTCTTGTCTTGTCACCTGCTGGCATTGCCAGGCTGCGGCCCCTTGTGATGGGGGGGACACGAGGGACCGTGACTGCTGGTGACCAGGAGGGACGTGCGGGGTCCAGGGAGCTGCTGCCAAGGGGAAGGCGAGYGAGCGGAGCGGGGCTGCGGCGACCGACAGGGACACGAGGGACCGCGGCCGCTGGCGATGGAGGCGGCCGGGAGGGCCCTGCGCTCCCCACAGAGCCCCGCGCTGGCCCGGGGGGATCCAGCGCTGCCCCGGCCGGAGCCGTGTCCGCCCCGCGCTGCCCCCGGCGGCCGGGCGGGCTCCGCGCAGGGGCCGCTCCGGGGCGCCCTCGCTCCGCGCCCCGCCCCGCGGGGGCACCGCCCCCGCTCGCCAGCACTAAAGATGGCGGCCGGCGCGCGGCGCGCCCTGGCAGCTACGGGGGTTGCCCGGCAGCGGCATGGCGGGCGAGGCGTCGCGGGCGGC